TTACGTTACTTAGTATATATATATATATATATATATATATATATATATATACACACACACACACACACACACATGTGCCCCTGCTTAAGATTGTGGGACATGGGCCTATTGGGCTAACTTGAGAAAATGGTCTGGGATACCAAAGCCAGTCCAGTAGAGTACCATCCAGCCCAACCTTGATTCTAATTTCCCTAACTAATTTTACCTAGGAGCCAAACTAAATTATTTTAATAGAGGATGATTAAAAATGATTTACTATAATTTGTGAGAATTTTTGGTAATTTTATTTTGAGAAAAAATGATTTACTAAGTTTGTTGGCACGTAATTCCTAACAAGGACAGTTGCACATGCGAACGGGTGGCACACAAGTGGCCAATGTGTGCCAACACATAGACCCCACTTGGACCGTCACGTCACTACCAATTTGTGTGACATGGATAGTGTAGGTAGGAGAGTGTAAGACTTGTTTGTTTTAGCGACATCGATGATATGTAGTAGTGCCACATGTGTGTGTGCACACATGTGAGCATGAGAAATTATTTTAAAAATGTTGATTTGATAGTGAAAAGCATTTTAAGGGTCTGTTGATTTCCAATTGGTGAGAGTGCTTAAACATGAATATTTCATGACAAGGGAATAAGAATGTGTCCCCTTGTGATAGTGACACATCAAGCAGGAAGAGTGGGAGCCAAGTTTCAAATAAGAGAGAGAAAATAGGGAATGAGATGTCCCATTCACTAGGTTTTATAAAATGGAAGGTTGTGATGTATTTTTGGAAAATTGGATAGTGATAAAAGACTAAAATCAAAATTAGGGTTTTCAAGGGCACATTGAGAATAAGGGAAGTTCGGAGGGCAAATTGGGCACATGATGCCATCCTATGATAGCCATAAATGGTGATGCACTAGGCTAGGACTTTAGCATCTCTCAACCCTTAGATGGCTCACAACGATGGCTTGACTTTAGCCTCTCTCAACCCTTAGATGGCTCACAATAATGGCTTAAATTGAGTCTACGCTTAACTCCATGCAAAAACCTCATATAAAAGCACAAAAACCCTATCTCATTTCATTTTTTTCCCACATCCTTAAGAAAGTTAGAGAGAGCCTTGGAGAGTGGTGCACCCCTCTCATTCCATCTCCTTCTTCATTGTGCATTAAAGAAAGTAAGTGAATAGTGTTTTAGCATTCATTGAAGCCACAGCCTTGAAGCTCTTAAAGCACCTTCTCCTATTCATTTTGATGTGCCAACACCTTCATCTAGGCATCATTATTCTGCTATAAATGATCACATAATAATAAGTAAAACCCCTTCCTTTGGTTCCCATTTTGAGTTATATTGTTTCTAGCACTTTGGGTTCTCATGCTATAGTATTTTGATGAAGTTTAGAGCAAAGTTTTAATGGACTGTTATGAATGTTACCTTGCAGTACATCTGAGATTACTAGGTCATAACAGTGAACTTTACATGTCATTTTGAGATTAACATAGTACCCTTTCATGCCATCTTGTTACTTGATAGCTAGAGCGCCCACTAGCACCCTTCCTTTACATAGTACCCTTTCATTCCATCTTGTTACTTGATAACTAGAGCACCCACTAGCACCCTTTGTTTGATCCTTTGGATCCTATTACATCCTCTCCTCTCCCACATTTTTCTCTCACCTTCATTCCCACACAAGGTTCACGCTAGGCCCTCATTTTGAGTTTCAAACATGGCGCATTAGCATCAAAATGTGTGGCATGAATTTTGTATGATGCATACTTCCCTCTAGATGAAGATGAAATCTAAGCTTTCAAATCTTGTGCTATCAGTTGGGGCACATAACAAGGGTCGTATGAAATCCATGGCCATAAACCCATTACCTTGAACATATAAATTGGCTTCCCAAGCCTCTCAAATCACTGCATGTGTCTTTCTTATTTGTTTTAAGATGAGTTCATGTACTTGTAAATGATGATCAATGAATGTATTGAAAGAAGAGATATCAGTATTGGTGTAATTTTTGAGTTCTTGAGTCTATTGTAACTGGTTGAGTGGAAGAACTTGAGTAGTGTATTTTTTTTATTTTATTTTTTTTCATTTTTGAATTTGTAGTCCTTGAGGGGTTTTCCCCAAGGTATTGTAAATGTGATCAAAGGAAATTGTATTAGTTAGTAAGTTTAGTAGAAAAATTTTATTTTACGTACCTTATGTGGAACCCCTAATACTACTTCAAATATATTCTTTAGATACTCCTTTCTTTTCCAACATCCACTAAATTAACTCTCTAGGTACCCAATAAATGCTTTCTCGGACTCAATAAAGACATGTGGAGGTCTAATTTTCCCCCTAAACTTCTCAATCAGTTGCCTAAGTAGGAAAATAGCCTCAGTTGTTGACCTCCCAAGTATAAGACAACTAATTTTTCAATATAGTCGTTTCATGTTGTAATCATTGCTCAATCACTCTTTCCCACAGCTTTATAATGTGGTTTACAAGTTTGATCCCTAGATAGTTCGTACAATTCAGTATGTCTTCTTTGTTCTTGCAAATAGATACCACAATATTTTGTCCATTCTACTGACATTTACTTTGTTCTCAGAATCTTGTTAAACAGCTTGGTCGATCAAGATATGCCAATCTCTCCCAAACACTTCCAAACCTCTATTGGGATACCATATTGTCCAAAAATCTTTCCTATCTTCATCTTTTTCAAAGCTTCTGTCACTTCAGATCAATGTTATCAGCTTTGCTTCGGAACCTTCTTTGGTTTGGTCTGAAAAATGAAGCAATTCGGTGCTTCGGTTAATTCAGGGGATGACTTCAAACTTTTTTTTTTTAATTAATATAAATAAAATATATATTTGTATATAAAAATGTATTAAAAAAAAAAATATCATAAAAATAAAGGAAAAAAGTCCATTTAATTTATTTTATCACTTGAGGAATTGAGGATATATTTATATATCACGTGAGGAGATAGTCCTTTAATAAGAGGACAAGTAAATCTTGGAAATTAATTTATTATTTTAATAAAAGCAAAGGACACTAAAGACAAGAGGGGCAAGTTATTATTTTAATAAAAATAAAGGACACTAAAGACAAAAAAAGGGGGCTACTTGTCGAACACGGTGATAAGGATGGGCCACGTGGAAGGTGAAGTAAATAAAGGACACTAAATACAAAAAAAGACTCTTGGGCTCTTGCGAAAAATTTGGATTCCCGCTCTCTCTCACCTTTGGACGGCAAAAATATCACACTGAAATACCTCTACATTTGCTTCGCTTCAATGGTGACGGATCGTCCAAAGCGAAGCGAATTTAACAACATTGCTTCAGTTATTATAATCCAACAATGTATCAATGACCTCCGACGTCATTTATGTCAAAGGTTCCTTCAAATGTTGTGATTCCATTGCGGTCGTCATTTAGCAATTTTTTAAAATAAATCTTCCGCCTCTCATGGAGCTCGTCATCCTTCACCAAAATCAAAGATATGCGCACCCAAAACACATACACAAAGAAACACATACACATGGCATATTTTTATTCTATTGAAATGATATTAATGATGGATAATTTTATATTGCATTCATATTACATTTTATTAACTTACAACCAATATAATGACAATCACTTTTTTAATCAAAGATATGCGCACCCAAAACACATACACAAAGAAACACATACACATGGCATATTTTTATTCTATTGAATTGATATTAATCATGGATAATTTTATATTGCATTCATATTACATTTTTATAACTTACAAACAATATAATGACAATCAGTTTTTTATTATAAGAGTAGAAGTTGACATCCTAGGGTGGTTTGGATTCACAAAGCAGGTATTGTCTAGAATTAAATGCAACTGAAAGCAAAAAGATAGGGTCTAATTCAAGGTGTTTTTTCAATTAAGTGGGATCCAAATAGCATTACACAAATCTAATTCAAGGTGTTTTTTCAATTTAGTGAATCCACCCAAACAGGACAGGTCCTTAGCCCACAGCACACATCAAATATTTTTATTTTTTTTCGAGGGGGGGGAAGGTGTGGTGGTGGTTGTGTGTGTGTGTGATATAAAGTCAAAATTTATAATATCTTATGATACGAGAGAAAAGGAAAGGTATACATGGTCCAAAACAACATTCTTATCACTGTTATAAGGGTAATCACCCTTGATCGTTCTAGCCACCTATTTTAGTTTCCCTCTCTACTTCATTCTAGAAAACCATTACAAGAATATCACACAAGAAATGGCCCACAGCCATTGCACGGTGAATAACATTACTCTGGACCACAAGGATAATAAATGGCTGATCAAATATCATGGTAGATTCTCAGGAAATATGGCTGACAAGGGTTTTACTTTTTTATCGGCAAATGATGCATGCAGATAATAATCATAGCATGAGAGAGAAATCCATTAATTTCATTCTAGGGTAAGTATACCATGATACTGGTTAATATGATTATAAACCTCTATCACCATTAGACAGACAGAGATGGACAGAGAGTGGGCCTTATCACTTGGGCCATAACATGTTCACCCATCAGATAATTGGATAGCGATACATTTGTAATAGATTTTCAATAGTCATATGGATCATAGTCCACCCTTCTCAACTGAAGGAACCTGGAACAGTCATGTCAGCCCTGCGTATTATAAAATGGCTTAAAATAGACTGCCAGAGACCCAGTTTTTAACAAGAGACCCACCAGGATGCTGGGTCGTCCTGAGACAGGCCAGTCCACTATCCATCTTGACCCAGGCGATTCCCGAGACTAAAACAAGTTTTAAAATTTGGCTTAAACTTACGAGAGTTATCATCTATCCATTCTAAATATTTCAAGCATGCCATTCTTTGACTCCGGTAAAATACCGTACTCATCTACCATTCTTATAATTTAACTTTTTTCCTAGTCAAAAAATATCTGAAAACCAAGTGAAGTTATGAAATAACCTTCTCAGAGAAGAAACGAAGTCCTTTATCTGGATATTCGGCTTCATAAGTCTCCCCCAACAATGGATTGAATGGTTTGCAATGTCGGCCCTCAGAAGAAGCATATCCAGAGACCGCAAAGGCAGCGACATTCAGAATTCTCATGAGACTGTCCCCCTAGATGCACATGCAAAGCATATCAAGGGTGAGAAACACAATTCCTTGATAAATAAATATGTAGAAGCATGAGAAAAATCATCGATACATTTCTAGTGAATTTATCGTACGTGACAAAATCACCGTGACAAAGCTGCATAAAGGGGGTAAGGTATTTTTATCACCAGTTTAAGGAAATCAAAGGTTATCAATAGCTATTCAGAGAACTCAAATTAACCAGAGCATTCTGATCCATAGTTACCGGGATCTCCTACTTTGGTAGATGATCCCTTCTAGAATCTCGATTCTGTCCCTCCTGGAACGGATCTCTTAGGGATCTCAATTTTTAAATTTTGGCACAGATAGGGATCCCGATTCTTTCTGTTAGAGATCTCAATCCCAACCTTAAAGACAAAGACAACAACCGAACTGATGATTTTCTTTGTTTATAGCCAACTAGCAACACAACTATTGCTTGCTTGCTATAAAGAATGAGATCCCTAATTTAAAGAGTATACATAATCTTTGATTATCATACACTTTAAGGTTGGTAACACGATCCCCAAAATATTGGGATCTAGATCCCAAAAGGTCGGCATCAAGATCCCCATAAGGTTGGAATCTCGATCCCTAATATTGGGGTTCTCAATCCCCAACATGTGCATTATATGGACGGCGTTCCCAACCACAGGGTTCTTCTAGCATTTCACAATCCCTCGCTCCGGATCCCGTTACCATTCCCACTCCCGAACCCAACAACTATGTTCTGATCTTTTAAAAAAATTTCAGTTATTAACAAAAGAAAAGTCAAAATTTAGCATTCCAAAGCATGTATCTTATATTACTTTTCACATCAGGTAAGCCGCAAATATTAGAATCATAACAGTGCAGTGATCACTCCAAAACAGTGCATTGCAGCAGAACATGTCAGGAGGCAGCAGGGACAGATGTTACTTGACATTGTCTTTCATGTGTATTTATTTGCATAGTATACATGTCGTTCAAATATCTAAGTGTCTCAATATAACTGTATAAGTGACCTTTATATCATACCATTTTGACAATTTCTTCAAGAAAGAACATCTTTATATGTTAAAAGGGGCAATATAAAGGAGACATAACAAAACTAAAACTTCCTGTATTGGTCATTTCTAGGTAGCTCAACAGAATAGGCAATGATTTGCTCGATTTCCAATTGAATGACTGTTTACTTACCCGTCCTCTTTATAGTTTTGGGACCCATACAGATAAGGCGCAGGTCTGGTTTTACCAATACAAATTATGTCTTTTAAGTCCTGAAATAGTTTTAAATACATTAAGGACTAGAAATTAAAGGAACTGCACATCTGCAAGGGGTTCCAGATTCTAGAGATGCAGCACAAGTGCTAAGTTTATCCCCAAAAGCAACCAATGGGTCCACAATACCATGCTCATCCTTATCAAAATTCAGCCCACAAATATGATGAAAATTGTGATGATATTTTCCAAGTTCTGGGTTTCTGTAAGGCCACCACGTGATTGGTAAGTGTAATCAGAGGTAGAGGAAGCATTCCCACAAATAATAGAAAAAAAACAAAGGGGAAAAAAAGGAGGATGTGAAGACAGAACAAGGTATAAGGGCCGCTTGAATTCAACTATGCTGTGCTCCCAGTCACTGGTGGACAAATAAAAAGCAACTTTTTGGAAAATGAGATAAGAAGTGGTAATTTTTTTTCAACCTACTCATAAACGTTCAGTGTCTGAATGTCCATGATACCCAAGTGCATCTTAGAAGGGCATAAAAAATGATCTCTTAATCAGATTTGAGTCAATATTCACTACCATCCAAACAAAATCAAAATGCGTATTAAGAGGCAGCACCTAACCAGCCCTAAATTTACTCTGAAGAAAAAGTAGCCCTATGCCCATCAAGAATTATAGTGATGAATAAATAACCCTTGTCCCACCATTTTTAGTCTCTGCGCATAGGGCACTTGGACGATGCCAAAATATAATGTGCATCTTGAGGAAACATTAATGATCACAAAATAATATTTTAAAAAAAGCAATATCGAGTATTTGTTTCGCATTATTTACGACGTAAAATTACGTAAAAATAACACAAATATCTCTTCAACAAGCAAAATACTTCAATATCTTCTTGGTTCTTCCCCATCCCCCCTCCCTAACAAACAAAATAACCCCCTATCTTGACGAAACAATGTATTCCAATAGCTAATTCAGGACTTTCAGAGATTCAAATCATACCAATTCATCAACACCAAGGACAATGCAATTTCGGGAATAGATTACAGAACAGTGCATGCAAAAACAAATGCTAGAATTACCCAGGTCCAATTTACCTACTTTATATGTATGCCTCCAACATTATAATGTATACTTTCAAATACTATCAGTAAAAGTTTATATTACCATTCCCAGAGAAGAGAGAAAAAAGGAGCCAGGTGTCCTGTAAGGTGAGATAGACATTCTTTTGACATCATAATACACATGGATGCATGCATGTAAACATGTTCATACCCATGCATGTAACCATGGTAAGGGACCACTTGCAAACCAAAGAGATAAAAGATAGTATCATATTACCCCTCTGCCCCATTCAAATGCTCGATCAAGAAGGTACGAATATTCCAGATCTTCAAAGCACTTTTGAAGAGAAGAAATTGGCTCATTGAAATAAACAGGAAGACAAACTCGGGTTAGATCCTTCCCAACATTATCTTTTATCATCGACCAAAGACTCACGCCCTTCTCTTTCTGAGCAGGATCCGGTAATTTCTTGCGCCTTTCAACATGTGGGTATTCTTGGTCAACATTTTCAGTTTTCAATGGCACATTCTTCATATTATCAAAGCATTCAATGAATTTCAAAGCCCCATTAGTTCTGCCTCCTGCGATAGAATCACAAAAATCTTCTTCTGTATCAAAGAACTTATCTTGATCTGACTCTTCCTCGTGCTTTTTCTCTCCATTATTGTTAAAAACATCTGCATATATGCAATCTATAAATAATAATATAACATTAAAGAAAGCAGATTGCAACATTAACCACCAGATAACAATGAAAAATGGTATCCACTGTCCTAAAGTAACGATAACAACAAGATTTTAGCTATAAAACAGAAATAAATAAATCAAAATAATAGGCATAAAATCATTGACGACCAACACGTAACAAGACATCTATGGGCCTGTTCAGATCATGTGTAAGCTGCTGCTGTGGCAGGTTATACACACAAGACCTCGTATTTTGTGTTCGGTGCGTGGCTGATTGCTACAGTAAATCAGCCCTGCTCATACAGAAAACCCAACATAGTGGGGATGGAGGTAAAACATGAACTACTTGTTTACCCCCATCCCCAATAAAGCAGCTTGGCACGGCAACTTATATACCACATCCAAACTCGTGGTATAAGAAGGCGTGATTACTTCCACCCATATGAATGACTACGAGTGCCAAACCAAGGAAATTATCAATTTAGAGCAACCAGATTCATGGATAGACTAAGACTAGGAGATTGCTTCATTGGAGAAGAGCATCATAGGAGACGTCATTGGAAAAGAGCGTCACAAGGTTGGGGCTGCAACTTCAACATAGAAATCTAGGGCTTGAGCATCGTAAGAGATTGCTTTAATGCCTGTTCTCGGAAATTTTTGGGTTTTCAAAACCCCTGTTATGGGGCTGAACATAGAAATCTCGGGCTTATACATCAAATCTCCAATATTTCACCTCAAAATACAATCACCTGAACATGAGATACAGGTCGTAGCCTAGAATTTGGATTTTTCATCACATTTCCATAGTAAAATACCTTAGAAAGGAAAATTCGTGAAACTACTCGCTATAAAACACAGGTTTTGAACGAATTTCAACGAATGATTCTGAAAACAACTGGAATTTTAAGTTTTGCTAAAAATTAATCTGCCATGAAACTATAGTTGGAGCTGTGTAGAGGCTTTATGTGATCACTTCATACCATTAAGGCTGAAGAGGAAGCTTTATAAGACAGCTGCAAGACCAGCCATGCTCTAGGGGATGGAATATTAAGCGGTTAAGGAACAACATAACCATAGGCTAAGCATAGCTAAGATGAGGATATTAAGATGAGGATGTTGAGATGGATGAGTGATGTAGGAATGATGGGTAGGAAATTAAATCCACCATTTTCTTGAACCTTAAACAAGTAAAATCAGTAGTAATGGACAAGAAATGATCGAATTTGGAATAAATACATATGAGGGAACTTAGGTGTGGCTTCAATAGACAATAAGATGTGGGAAAGTAGACTTAGGTGGGCTAGCCATGTGCAACATAGACTTAATGCAGCACCGGTTTCAAGGTGCAATTTGGCTCAAGTTGAAGGCTCTAAAAGGACAAGAGGACGGGCCAAAAAGATATGGATAGAAGTAGTGATAAAAGATATAGTGACTTTTGGTCTTACTGACGGTATGGCCCTTGATAGAGAAGAATGGAAGAACAGGATTCATCAGCAGAAATGATGATGATGTCATGAAACAATCAATTGAAGAATGCATTGTGATGGTAAGTAGGAGAAATGGAGTGCTGGTATCCAGAGGACAAACAGGAAAAAAAACTCAAGTTTGTCTGCTGTTTCTGATGTCTCTGGCCATGAGTACCACAAGTAAAGTAAAGGAAATAAAGAAAGCGCAAGCCCCAGAATCAAAGCATCTCCATGCTCTAATCTTCATCTATTGGAGATCACTGATTCCAGTAAATGTTTTTGTGATTTAAGTCCGTTTTTAAATGAAAAGGCCCAAACCGATTATATATCATACAGTACATAGATTATCAACTTACATAAATATATATGGTAAATAGTAGAATAACATAACCACATATGGTATAGATTATAACAATATAATATCTTAGTTAAATTAAGACCCTTTCTTAGTTTTGTTAGATTACTACCAGGCTAAAATACTTAAAAACAATTCTGGATATATTAGAAAATATGCCAAACCCATCCCCACCCCCTTCCCAAACAAAAAACTTCTAACAAAGAAAATGATGTGAGGGATATTTTCAACCCATTTTTTTGTAAACACATCCTCTTGACCATAGTAACCATTCCATGGAAAGATCATTTGCATTTTGTCGAAGGGAGAGAAGCATCATCATCATCATCAGAGCCTTTTCCCAACTAGTTGTCGGCTCACGAATCCTAGTCCACAACTCTGCTTTATCAATGACCATAGCCTCAGTGAGGCCACAAGTCCACATATCTTTTCTCACTACTTCCAACCATGTCCTTTTGGGACTACCCCTCGCCCTTTCTGAGCCTTTCACTTGAACTAACTCGCACCTCCTAGTAGTTGTTGTACTGGGTCTGCACCGAATATGGCCAGCCCACTTAAGTCTACTTTCACTATCTTATTGCCTATTGGTGCTACACCTAATTCTCCCAAATGTATAAAAAAAAAAGTTGATAAGTCCAAATCTCACATTAAACTCCCCACACAATCAATGCAAAATAGTCAAGCCAGAAAGAAATAACTTAGAATAGCAAAGAAAAATGATAAAATCTAAGGGGCTTTCTGTAGTCAAAGGCAAAGATATTATTGTACGAATTAAAAAAGTTGTGGTACAAGAAATAAGCATCGCGTAGAAGATACAATATGACGAGCTACAAGAATGCAACAAAAAAGGTAAGATATTGGTGGCAGCATTAAAAATATGAGATAGGAGAGCTACTAGAGGAAGTTTAACGGAATTGAGGTAGAAAGCCGTCCAGAATTCACAACCAAACACCTAGGACATACAACTACAAACATGATATTGCTGTCAACAAGGGCATTAGGCCTAAATGACTCGAAAAAATACTCGGAAAATTATCTTCAAAAAAGTTAATATAAAGGAGTTCATAGTACCTCACAATCCACGAAATTGTATTTAGCCTCATTACAGTAGCAATTGAAATGAATTCGGTCAAAAATATTGTACTCAAAATGTTGTTTTATCTAATGGGATAGGATTTGCTCAAAAGCATAAACTAAGAAATTATCACATCGAAACCATTAAGAACCATCCTCAAGTTGGTTCAAAAATCTACAATAGGACTGAAGGAGAGAAAAATAAAACATCCCCAGTTTCAAAAGAGTCCATTGAAAGAGATCCTTTGAGTCATACAAGGTATACCAAAAGAGAAAAGCCAAACAAAAATCCAAACCATGTTTTCCTTGTCTGTGGGAACTAGGAAGGGCATGGGCACATTGCAATAGAATGCCCTAAGAAAACAGTTAAGCAAATTAAGGCAAAATTCCAAAAAGAGAATCAAAAGAACAACAGAAATTGGAGGAAACTGCAAAAGAATTGCAAAAAGCCTTTAATGATGTAGACCAAGAGATGCTGCCCACATCTTTAGAAAAGCAAAATTCCAGTGACATCCCATTTATTTATGAGGTTAATAAAGTTAATATGATGTGTCCATGTACAGTTGAAATCATAAGCACTCCCTCAAGTCCCCTAGCAAGAGGCGGTCAAGATACAGAGACACAGAGTAAATTTGCAAGAGGTGGATAGTAAAGTATGATGCCAACAAAAACTTGAATGTTATATCTCAAAATTCAAATGAAAAGTCAACTCCCATCTCTATCCAAAATAAATTTGACGTACTCAAAGATCTACCTAACTGTATTGGGGACATGTGTGTGGAAGGACACCACCCAATACTGGATACGGTGGAGCATACAGTGAAATCTCATGTCCGCCATCATGAAGCAGAGTCTCCCAAGGGGCCAATCTCTAGTGTGTTTTCTGATGCCCCTCCTTAACCAACCCCAACTATCCTTGCATCGGCAAAAGGCAAAGAAAAAATCTTTGTGGGCATGGCATACAAGAAGAAAATTCTAATGAAAAGAGTGGCTTCAAAACCTCTGAAATCCCCAAAGAAAACTAATATCCTAGAGCCTAGCTATTACCCCTTGATTGATTACAACCTGGAAGAGGAGGAAAATGCCCCTGATGTCTGATAAGGGTGAGAACTTGCATTGGGATGAATATGTCTTTCAGCAACATTTGGAAGGAGTAGAACCTATGGAAATGGCAGTGGTGGAAACAATGAGGAAGATGAACTACTGGTCATGGCAATCCCCCTGGCCTATCGCTTATCAGATGACCCCCCAGAGGATGAAAAAGATGATGAGCCTGGAAGGTTACTAATAGTCCTCAGAAGTCAGCAAGGTTGTTGATGCAATGAATCTCCATTATGGAGACTCTCTAGACTCTATCACCGAAATGTTGCAAAAAGATCATGACAAGGGTGTTGATGCACAACCTGGAGTCTCAAAATTTCAAAAATCAAAGCACAAAGGGCGAATGCAAAGGGAGCTCGACAATCTGGTATGTTCTATAAACTATGACAGGGTCTGCTAGTCCTTCTAAAACCACCAGGCACAATAGGGGTTATGTCTCAGAATGAAAATACTATGCTAGAACGTTTGGGGCCTCAACAGTAGTAGAAGGAAAAAAGATGTCTTGTTTTTGGTTAGGCAAGAAAAGCCTGACATTTTGATTATACAGGAATCAAAGATGGAGGCCCCTAATTTTCGGTTTACTATGTTAGTTTGGGGAAGGAGACCAATGGACTTTGTGGGTTTTGTTTCTAATGGCTTATCAGGTAGTTTGTGGGTCATATGGGACCCAAATGTGGTTCAAAAAGATGATTTTGTTTTAAATGAAAGACATATCTTCATGTTGTTTTTGTAGATGGTTTAAAATGGCGTTTAACAAATGTATATGTTCCCAACTGTCCCAATGAAAGAGCACAATTGTTTGATGAACTGAATGCTTTAACCAATTTCGTTAATGTGCCATGGTGTATTGGACGTGAATTCAATGTGATTCGATGGCCTAGTGAATCCGCAGTTAATCCTAGGGTCTCTCATTGTATGCGCATGTTTAATTCTTTTATTCAAAATAATGAACTTCTGAACATTCCATCGATTGGGGCTGCATACATCTCGTCAA